ATGACCGGGACACCGTCACAACACGACCGGGACACCATCAAAACATGCCCGGGACACCATCACAACATGGCCCGGCACCATCACAACATGACCGGGACACCTTCAAAACATGACCGGGACACCATCACAACATGACCGGGACACCATCAAAACATGACCGGGACACCATCAAAACAGGACCGGGACACCATCACAACATGATTGGGTCACAATCAAAACATGATCGGGACACCATCAAAACATGACCAGGACACCAGCATCACATGACCCGGACGCCATCAAAACATGACCGGGACACCATCCGCCCACCAGCTCTGACGGTGACCCGACGGCGCCCGTCCGCCTATTAGTTTTGCAAGACCCCATAGCATGGCTATTGGGGAATTACCATCACATCAAGAAGCAGCAGGGCTGCGCAAGAGTACTATACACCACAGGTCGACTTTCGACTTTCTAGCGTCCAACTTGCCTACCTAGCTGCCCTCGCTCACTGTTTCTCTTGGAAGCTTGCCGCGAATGAAAACAATTACAGGGCTCACCTCCATCTTGCAGACATACAGCGTTCGCTTGAAACAACTGGTTCGAGTTACCTTGACCTTCTAATCCCTGGTTTCGTCAGTCAGGACAGTGATCATGTGTCCATCCAGTCATTTCAAAAGCGCGCATTGGAAGGGAGCTCCCGATTGGGAGCTCCCTGAATTGAAGCCGACCTTGTATGACTGGCCATCCGATTTCGCCTATGACAATATTGAATTGAATCAACTTGACTTACTTTTTTGGGCCTAATGGCAATTATTCTTCAAATTCTCACCTTGGGATGGGTTCAAATCCTGTGCCTTTCAGTCTTCAGTTGTTCTGAAACTTTCATCCAGCCGGGTCCTCAAACGTGCCACAGCGATGTCTTATCGCCGTGTTGGGATCACTGCGTGGAGTAGTCTCCTCCAAAGCACGGTTCTACCATTCGGGAGTGCGCCAGTGCAAAGATCAGAAGTCTCTCAAGAAAGGAATGACTGCAGAGCATGCCCTTCCTTGACTAAAACTGCAGAGTTTTGTTGGGATTATGACTTTTCGCTGCATGGAAATCTCACTTGCTGAATGACTGGTGGACAACTCGAGGGATTACAATCGCAGGTGTTCCGTGTTGCAACGTCGTTCATACATGCACGCCAGGTCTTGGGTGGACTGTCTGGAGCAAGGAAAGATGTCCAACGGTTTTCGACATTTTGATGGCGCTCAAGGGGCTCAAAAGGGCCGCAACCTGTCCATCCCCTGTGCTGCACTCAAAACTGAAGATCCAAGTCTTGGGAGAAACTGTTGTCTAAACTTTGGTCAACTGCATTTCAAATTTGGGATACACCTCTGGGGCTCCCCCAGGGGCCTTCGGACCTGAAGAGGCAATCAGTCGGTGTTCATCCTTCCCGCCTCTCAGCCTGATTTGAAGAGGAGAATCGCCACCTGGCGACGGGTCACCCACTGCGACTCAAAAAGGATGCCAACTCTAGGCTATGCAGCACCATAATGGTGGTATTCTCAAAAGTATCAACGTCCACCTCCAAACCCACCCCACCTGTCCCAAGTAGAAATAGATGAAGTGTTTGGTCTCGTGCGTGACATAGGATCCGAAATTCCGCCCCACGACGCAGTGCCACGTGGGGTTGTACTTCTTGTCGAACTCCTGGCAACCCTTCCCCTGCCTCCATTGAGTCTTTTCAGGAGACTGCCAACTAAAAGATGTGACCTCCTCATGCAGGCTAGTAGGCCTGACCCCTGACTGATGAGCAAACACCTTTTGGTCAGCAATCCTTCTTGACAAATGCCGCAATATCTTTCCTGGGCGTCACACTTCGTTAAGTCACTCAGTCCAACTTCGAGACCTCCAGCTCTTTACTTCATATTGCACTTAGAGCTGTCCAATGGCAATGTTGTGAAATAAGAGGAGTGACTTGGAAATCCGGAAATCCGTTCTCCCCAAGAATTCGTTTGACGAATCGAGTCTCTCAATGTTGTACTTCTCCAGTGCTTGCGTCGCCGAATCAATGGCATCCTGCAATGGGAGACACCGTGCAGTTGCCACAAGTTGTGTCAATTTAAATAAAAGCTCCTAGTAGCTTCTTGTTCCTGGTAGTAAGGCCAGGAGCCCCTAGTAGCGTCCTTGCTCCTAGTAGCGATGCCAGGAGCCCCTAGTAGCTTCTTGTTCCTATAGTCGGCGGTTCCAGAAGCAAATCTTGAGACCGAGAGCGAAGAATTGCATATAGCCTATAGCAGCTATAGCACAAGACAGAAAGTCCTGCTGCATGTCTTCAGCCATGTCGGCATTCTTGATTACTGCCTTGCAACCCAAATCACCAGCGCAAATCAGAAAGGAGAGTTTTCCTCAAAACCTTGCCGTGGAAAATGTGAAAAAAATAGAGCCGCCCGTAGAAGAAAGGAACCAAAACAGGCCATCCAGCGTTGTTCACCACAGACAAACAACCGACCTGACAGAACGGACCGAGTGAGAGTTGCAGGCCTTGCGGTCGGCCATGGCTGAAACACTACGGGACCAAAAGCTTCACTCTCAGTTCTGAGCTGCGGTCAATTGAGTGGTTATTTGCACTTTGTCCGGGTATGACCGATGTGAACACAAGAAGCACAAGTCGCAAAGGGATCCACAACAGCTGACTGACAAATGAAGTTCCATGTTTTGTTCTACTATCAACAGGTCCAATCAGAACTCTAGCTCAATGTCTGCTAAACCTCTCAGTGCGATATCAAACTCACCATGTGCCTTCGTAGAATCACACTAAAGATACTCAAGTACGGTGGGCTCAATGCCCAGAGTCTCAGGTGTTTCATCCATCTCACTCGCTTGCACCACTTCTTTGAGTGGCGAAAGAGTGCTCTTCACAGCGCTGCAGAGCGCCAGCCCGCCAAGCGCTCGTCCCGCGGCACCGCCACGGTGCTCCGTAGCAGAAACTCATTGGCCACCAGTCCGCTGGCACCCAGCGCGCCGATCACCACGACTGGCGAGGAAGGGTTGATGGGGTGGTTTGGCATCCGAACGCACTTAGGCCCACGGAACCTTTCAAGAAGCGTTCGGCGCCAAAAAAGGATTCCCTCTTTCGTTGTTCAGAAACATTTGTATGAGAGCAACTTACATACAGACAGAGGCAGAAAATCATGTAGCAAGCAGCATGGGAAGAACTGATCCAGGTTCTTTCCAGTGCAAATGGGAAGTACTTACAGGGATTCACAAAAGGATTGCATTTTGCCCCTTGAGCGAGTAGATGGAACTGGAGGGTTGCATCACTCCTGCTGCGACCCATGTGTTGCCAGAGACTGCCATCTTTTCTGAAAAACGATTTTTTCACATTTTGTTGATAAAGGCTGGAGCAAGCGGCTGAGGTATTAAATATGCACCCGAGGCGTCTTTCTCTTTATTTAAAGAGAGAGAGTGAGAGAGAGATCTCACCTATTGTTACGGCATTTGCTGATCATCCACCATGGTAGCTGCAGACACAGCCAAACATTGCCGTCACGGACACCAAATACATTCAAGCAGTGCATACTCTTACAAAACGACATCCAAACATCCAAACAAATCAAGTGACACTTGCTGACTGACATTTTCTGCAATGCGTTTCGGCTCTATTTGCATTGTGTGCCATCTACATGTTCCACTTCTCTGTGGGGGGGTACATGGCATGGAAATGCCAGAACCACATCAGGATTGCATATCAAAGGGTTTCTCCTCATGGCATTGGCTTGTTATATAATCCTATAAGGCGGCCAATGGTCGACACATGGCATGAAAGCCCTGCCAAAATACATTTAAAAAAACAGTCCTCAGAATTGTGCACAGCATGACCCTAAGACCAACCCCCGTGCCTGCTACTGCAATATCTGAGAATTGCCCTTGGCCTCAGGCACGCTTTGAGTTGGACCATGTGGAACGCAGTCATTTCATTTGCCAAGCTGCGGTTGATACCGATCGCTTGCACGACTTGCTGGCATCCCTGCCCGCACGTGCGCACGGCCCATAGCCCCGGGTGAATCCGCAACCTCAACCTTACTGGTCTTCTCAGAAGTCTGAGCAACAATCCAAGGACAGCCACAACATAATTTGCAACAAGGCAGCAAGGCAGGTGTCAAAATGAATCTTTTGAGGATGGTCGGTGATGATTCTTTGGTTTTTGAGCGCCACCGGTAGCCCATTGAACTTCATTGACCACTTGGCTCGGGAGTGAGCCAAGTCGGCGCCCAAAAGTATCTGGAACAAGTGATCCCGGGCCTTCGGCAAGGCTACCAGCAACACAGTCCTCATGAAGAAGCCAAACTGGAGGTTCGTGTGGCATCCCAGGGTCTAGTTGGAAGTCCCAGGCCAAACAAACACAATGATTAGTAACTAGTCTAGCAGCTGTAAAGTAAATCCACCAAAAGACCTGTTTGACCCTTCCAACCTGTGGTCAGTGTGGTCGAAAACTACCCGAGCTCCGGGCAACCCCAGGTTGGCCAAGACCACAAGGCAAAAGATGCTCTGGCGGCATGATCTCGCTAAACATGATGCCACCACCTTGGCCAAATGAACATGAACAGAGAAACCGGTCCCCGTGCCGCTCGATCGGGCCGCTGAGGCTGGTGCGAAAGGGACATAGTTTGGTCATTTGATCGATCTTCCATGAAATGCAACGTGTGCATGCCCGGGGCCAATCAAACAGGTGGCAAAGGCTCCTCAGCGCTGCCACTAGGGTTCACACGAAGCCCAGCAGACTGAGGCTAAAGATCAGTAGGACGGCTAACAAACCAGGGCCTCATTTGGTGATGACCCAACGGCGGGTCACCGACGGCCACACGTCAGGCACTACCAACACTCCTCGCCTATGCCGAAGACTCGGCTCTCAGCACATTCCATCGCGCCCAAAGCGCTTCATCTCGACTGCACAACTCCCCCCCACGCTGCATGTGGTCTGGTTTGGAACCTCCGAAAATGTTGACTCTGTTTCGTCTCGCGTTTGCTTTACCGATTATATAAATACCTCTGCCCAATGCTTCTTCCTGACCCCTGCACAATATTCATTCAACATGTCCTCTCCAAAGCTATCGGCCACATGTTCCACACGTGACATGCGTGCCGTATGCATAAGCCAAATCTGCGATTGAAAAAGAGCTAAGAATCAGTGCGCTTTGGAACTCGGACTCTGATTTGAGTCAATCAATCTCAATACCAAGTGTTCTAGATCTGGTGACTTCTGCATGAGTCTTGATCTGTTGAACAATCAATCCTGTGGGTTCTGTAACATTTCAACCGAAGACACAACGCTTGCACAGCCCTGTACAGAGATGTCTGCAACAAGCGGGCGGCACTGCACTTGGGCTGATTGGATTCAAAAGGACAATCGATCAATCTGTTTTAGATTATGGGAGATTGAACAAGGAGATCATAAATGGTTCAGGCCCAAAATCAAATCAGACTCTTTGGCAGCGCCAACCTCGGCGTCTCGTTTCGGCCCTCCAGAAGATTACCCTCTGGACCTGCACAAGGGGCCTAAAATGTCAAGACCGCAGAACCTGGAAACAGCCGCAACTGGGCTGCCAGGCTGCCACCCGTCGAACGGTCCGGTGAAAAATAGGAACTTCTCGACACCCGAAGTGCGCACTAGTAGCTTCTTGTGCTTCTTGTTACGTAAGGCACTTGTTACTAGTAGCGTCCTTGCTCCTAGTAGTAAGGCCAGGAGCCCCTAGTAGCGTTCCAATAATTCGCATCTTTGTTTCTAAGTCATTTGCCCGCTAGACCCTTCAAAACATCTGCACTGAAGCGTTGTCCAAGCTGCTCCAACCTGGGGCAATGCACGTGGCTCATGCAATCGCAACCTGGAGCAAATATTATATAAACAAATATAGTGTGTACTTTCGGTAGGGCTCCCAGGCAGAAGCTGGCCAAATGCGTTTCAATAAAAAAAAAAATTGTTCCTGCCCTCAATCTTGCTCACGTTGCACCCGGTGCAGCTGGCGATCCGTCCATGGTTTCGAGAGGGCTATCATTGGTTTGGTCACTTGGCACGGGAGCCAAGCAGCGAGATGTTCATTGTGTCCACTGCACCTCGATGCAAAGATCTGGGCATTGAACAAGGAAGTCGAACAACGCAAATAAATACAGTATTACAATGCTAAAAAGGGTGTTGATACATACACTGTACACTCAACAAGTACAAACTTACAACAAATTTTAAAAAAAATGCTCTTTCAAGCCGACATGATCTGCAGCATAGCAAAAAATGCGCAGCACGCACGCTGAGCTTGACACTGTGGCGCTTGTGGAGCAAATGTAAAATGGAATTCCTGGGAGTTAAGGGAGATCTCAAATCTTCAAAAGCACAAGTCTAAGGAATCGTTCTCTCTGCTTGAGAGTGATGATGCTTCTCACCGCATGCTTCAATCCGAGGTTCTCCATGCAAACCGTCACGAAGCGAACCTCCTGGACACCAAGCGCATAGGTTGCGCAAATCATTATTGCTTTTGACTGTGAACTCTTTAGCCTTGTTCTGGAAGGGGAAAGAGCCATAGCCACAGCATTTGTAAAAAACTTTTGAAGACTGATCCATGGAAAAGCAGAGCCCTGCCCCGCCTTCCGCTTCTGCCCGAGCCGCCTCAGGCGCCCACGGATCTGGTGTCGGGAGGCGGCATTCCCAGCATAAGCTCCAGTCACCATGACACCAAGTCCTCAGGCAGAAAAAATGTTGTCATTGTCGTCGGTTCACAGCACCTTTGCCACCCACGCGAAGGCAAAGAAAGGCATATGTTTTTGTTTGATGTGACGATGTGTTCAGTGTTTGGGTTTGGGGGTGGGGTGCCAAAGCAGGGCGCCGCCAAGTGTATGCGCTTTAGAGCCTGGGTGCCGCTGTAGGGTGGTGCTGCAAGGTGTTGCTTGGCAGTGTGCGCATAGGGGCCTGTGTGCTGGTCCTGCAGGGTGCTGCTGCAAGGCAATGGCCTTATGTCAGTGGGTGAGCTGTGTGCTGGTGCTGCTGCAGGGCGCCACTGCAAGCTGCCGGCCAAATGTTTGTGCCCTGCGCTTTGGAGCTTGGGCGCGCGCTAATGCAAGGTGCCGCTGAGGGGTTGCAGCCAGATGTCTGTGGCAGTTTGAGCATTGGAACCTGCCTGTTGGTGTCATGCAGGTTGCTGCAGGGCGCCGCTGCCAAATGTTTATGGCAGCGCGCCATTTGGAGTGTGGGCGCTGGCGTCATGCTGACCACAAATACGTTTTGTTGTCTGGGGTCTATTCTATGCTGGCGTAATTTTTGCTGCACATGGGCCTGCCTCTCAAGCTCGCTACCCGTTAAACATCGTTAAACATTGAGGGTGTCCACTTCACCGTTGCCCTCTACACTGAGTCAACCGCCCCAAGAGGTAAAACATAAATAGAAGAACAAACGATATATGCCACCATCAATCATGGCAGTATTGGCTGTCTTCGCTTGTAGCATCTTGCAATAGGTCACTATGTCTCCAAAAATGGCCGGCTTCTGTGAAATCTGTGCAGCCGCAAACGCGTAAACACAAATCAGCCCTGTACTTCTGCAATCTGAATCAATATAGATGCGTGGAAATCCACTGAACCCTTCAAAACCCTGCGAGGTCGCAAAACGTGACGCAAACACTTCAAAGCCATGAGCAACCCTGACTCAAGCGACGAGAGCGCCGTGAACCGTCTAGTCGGACTAGCAAATAGCTTGAGACAAATTCTGCCGCACATCCGCTTGTGGATGTTCTTTAGAAACAACTTGAAACAAGTGCAAGTTTGTGCTTTGTCCTAGGCTCGTCGGGCAGAGTTGTATCCACGGTCTTTGTCCTGGGAGCTTCCAGGCTTCATTCAGGGCACTCTTTAGCATGCAGGATGTCCAACAACACCAACTTAACTTTGAGTCCGTAGCTCATCGAGTGGAACAATATTCAATAGCAAGACCACTGCGTCCACATACTTGACAATTCCACATTCCATCAGTTCCGCCTTCTGTTTTCAACACACGGCACGATGGTGCCTTTGTCACCACCACGATGGCAAATCTGTGTGCGTCAGGTGCTTCCAAAGAAGCAAAATCGCCGCTTGGCAGGTGTGCACTGCTGAGCTTCAGGAGCTTCTCCGCATGTTGCCGCCTTGCTGACAGCCACCCGGGAAGAGGTAAAGAAGCCAACAAATGACATGTCAATGTGGGCGGCTAGTCATGTTCTCAAAGAAAAGCACAGAGGTTGGTCTGCATCAGATGATCAAACGAAAGGTCCGAGACGCGAATCTGCGATTAGCAAAACATCGCCATCTGCATGCCTGGAGCGGTCCTCACAGACAGGACAAGCTTTGGAAACTGCACAAACACAACAAGGCTGTCCTCCTCGGCAGCCTGAACAGCCACCTTAATCATCGCTGCATCGGTGTGCTGTTGAACCAGTCCTCAAAGCATAGCAAGCTAGATGCTAGCCTTCCAAAAAACATCAAAGGAGATCAGATTAAAGAACACAACAAAAGCTTGAGATGAACACAGTGGCTGATATACCTGCGGATGTGGCATCCCATGTTCCAGCAATGCTTCCAAGAGTGCATCTTGGGGGAGTCAATAATTTGGAAGTTGATCCCAACATCGAGCATGATTGATTCTACAACTTGTTGAGCAGCGACACCAACACCTGAAAGAAACATCCATCACTGATCCTTTTTGGCCCAGCGACCTGCCATTTCAAGCCAACGTGCCTCCGGTCAGTGAGCCAGTCAGGACACAAAGAGTGATAAATCAGAAATCCGATTGAGTTGAAGACCTCCTCGATTCAGCTTTGCAATCTCGAGTCCAACAACATGAACAGTCCACAGAGCGCCCTTTTGTACATTCTGCTATCCAAGCCTTCTAGGCTATCAAAAGACCAGAGAAAAAACACATCAGACTGGGATCCCCTACAGCCCCCCCTTGAATTGAAGATCCTCCGGCAATGATCCCGCACCTTGTGCGCGCAAACACTCTGGCAAGTAAGCTCTACAAAATGATCCTTCCCACTGCCCCTGTGCAAGGGTATCAGTTGGCAGGGGCCAGGGCATCATCTACCATTGGTACAAGAACATCTTCTTCTCGAGCTGCGATGCCTGGAAAATCAGAACAACTCCATTGACAGTTAGGATTGTTCAAAGCTGGCCTAGTTCCAGCTGCATCGAGACCATCCCAGAAGCAGCCACCAGCCAATTTTGTTTGTCCACAGGAAAGGAGCAGGTATCCTTGGATTCACCAGCAAGTGCCTCTCCAAGTTGAGGAGTACCAACCTGCACCTCCATGGAAAAGGAGTTTGATGGTTCACGTGTGTATACTAGGAGATTGAAATGAAATGAGTGTCTGCCTGTTCGCCCGGTCTAGGCACTGGTAACCTGTTTTGAGCCCAACTCAAAGTCCCATCTTTACCCCCGCAAAATGCATCCTAGTGGGCCTCGGGGCGCAGAATTGGTCTAGGATGTTTTCTTCTGTTCAAGGTGCTTTTCGCTTTTTTTCTTGGGAATGTTAAAGGAAAATGGGAAGGCAATGCAAGGGAAATGGAAGGGAGAGGAGATAGGGCGCGCGCTAGGGCCCGCGCCTCCCCCCAAATAGAGCACACAAACCGTTTCAAGAAGCCGGGCAACAGTAGCCAAGAGAAGTTAAGTTATATCGTTCAAACCACCGAAAGCAAACAGAAACCGACCTGGAAGATTACAGTTGCCGCGGTGTTTGATTGCGGAGCCCCAGACTCCAACCTACTAGCGTCTTGCTACTAGTAGCTTCTTGCTCCTAGTAGCGATGCCCTTTGTTACTAGTAGCTTCTTGCTCCTAGTAGTAAGGCCAGGAGCCCCTAGTAGC